TTTTGTATTTATGTGTTTGTGTGTTCAGATCCTTCATCACCACATCGCCTCCGTGGAGAAGCTGTCCCTCACAACCAGTGGCTGCCCGCTCCTCATTCAGTGCCGAAATTTCCGTCTTGTCCACTTTGTGATTCCGCGAGAGCGTGACTGCCATGATATCTACAGCTCTCTGCTCAGGCTACTGAGACCAGGTGGGTAAACTCAGATGTCAAGAATAAATAGACTGCAGAAGTTTCCTGAAAGTCACAGGGGAGACCCTTAGGTCATAGCCACACTCTGTTCTGTGACTGAACAACGGATATTGTGGGCATGCGTTGTTGGCTGGAGGTCAGGGACATGTGAGCATCAGTAGCAGCTCCAGATGGTCGCCTGAATAATTTGACTTTCATTTTCACCTTTTGTAAAGTTTATTAATTCTGTACACCAGTGTCCTATGACGAGCTGTACGCGTTCTCCTACAACCCAAAGCAGAATGACCAACAGAGAGAGGAGGGCTGGCAACTCATAGACCTCGCAGCCGAGTTTGAACGGATGGGTGTGCCATGTGACCAGTGGCAACTGACTGACGTTAACAGGGAGTACAAGGTATGATGGGAGAGCGAATGTGTGGAATATGTTCAACATCAGCAGCAATGCTGAATCTAATTCAGGATGTATGTGACCTAAAATCGGGTCTCATGAGGCTCTCAGGCAACCTAAAATAGAGTGTAATGTCCCTCAAGACTAGTATTAGAATAATGTGGTTGGAATAAAACGAGGTTTTAGTCAGATAAGCAAACGCCAGGCCAGGTAGGTACTATATGTGCTAGTGGTTTATTTGTGAACGAATCTGATATACTTTGGTTGTGAATGACTCTAACTCAACTGTTAATTGAGTGAATGATTCAGTTGTTCATTCATAATACAAAAAGACTTGTCATCACCTATTTGTATAACAATATAACCTGCAGAAAAGGTCACTGAATAAATTAGTGCATGAATATGAAGAAATCTTTTTGATGGATTGAAAACATATTAGATGCTGAGATTAATCAAATATGTGAATCTTTATTGTAAGTATATTTAGAAGCATTGCAGAAAATTATAATATAGAATTATAATATTTATTATTACTATATGTATTATTTTAGATTTATTTTATATTT